AAATAAACATAAATATGTTTATATTGAATATAAATAAATTTATCAATGCAAGCGAATCCATTAGATGGCACATACCAAAATACTGCAGAACCATTTGAATGCATTTTTAATGTAAAGAAAGGATCTTGCTTTGATCTGCAAACGTATATTTCTGAATGGTACTGGCATAAGTGGACAGTATTTTAAGATGATGTCTTGAGCGTATCTGTGTTGATATCCAGAGCCAGGCTGATGGTGCAATTGTTTGAGAAAAAATAACTACGGTAGATGAGGTTTGAAATGTGCAAGTGTGAGGTTTCTACCTCGAACCAGAGAAAGAAAAATCGGAATATTTAAAATGTGGTGATAAATTAGGAACTGCAGAGGAGTGAAGAGATTTGGGAGGCTGAGTATATAGATTGTTAAAACCTAGCAATGTGGAACAAAAAGCAATTGAAAAGACTATTATTGTAATAGCATTAGAACAGCAAGGGAACAAAGTTATGTTGGAGTTGTACGGAGCGTTAAGCAGGTACCATATCGTACACTGAATTCAGTTGTGGATTTTGGAAAGGTATATTGGCCTTGAAGAGAACATAGCACAGATGGGAGATGATAAAGTTGTGGTAATGTCATAGATCTTGTAATGTGGGAAAAAACAGGCTAACACTCTAGAGGCATGGCTTTAAAATCCCATCATGAATATTGCCGTAATATAAATAAAATTAATTAACTTAAAATCAATCTACTTTCAAAGTAATTATGACTATGAAATCACCATCAATTGTTGCCAAAGCCTGTACTGGTTTATGAGTGTCTTTGGCAACTCAAACTTCAAACTCCTTTCATGCAGGAAACTGATGTCAGTTTCCTTAGCCTAGGGGTGGCACTCCCATAGCTTCAGAGGCAGAAAGTTATTACATATACTAATTTCAAGCCAAATGAGAGGAGTACAGAGAGTTATCCTGGTATGAAATTTGACCTACTAGCTTTGAAGTGCATGATTTACAAGATGTTCAGAGACATTCTGAGTGGTGCAGAGATATGTTTACAGAAAACAACCCACTCAGCTACTCTCAGATATTTGCCAAGCTAGCAGCAACAGATCCAATCAGCTGCTGAACACACACTGGTTTGATTCCAGACTTCATTCAGGTCAGGCAAAAGAAATGCAAATGCTGATGCCCTTAGTCAGAAAACTAACCGCAGGAGGGATCCTACACATGCACCACCGGTGGGGGCTGATGCCATGCACATGCCCCAACTTAAAGACAACATTCTGACCTTGATTCCTATGATGTTCAGACTTAGGCACAGTGGAGTACCTCCAACACATTTATGAGTGAGGTTTGAACCAGATCCAGGCAGGTAGAGCCATATGTGGTTTCACCTTTGACATCTATCTTGAAAGAGGACCTCAAACAGTTTCAACTGATTGACTTGGGCATCGGCAGATGGCAACGTTACTGGAAGGTGCACCAACCCAGTGCCACCTGATGAGGGGGTCCATACCAGCATTGAAACCATGGTGTTGAAAAATATCTGAGAAGCAGATGGTATCCTCTATCAGTTAGTTCATGACAAGGAGAGAGAGGTGAGAAAACTCATCCTTCCCAATAGTCTCAAGTGTCAAGTATTGATAACGGTTCATGTTTAAACAGGGTGCCAAGTGATGAAAAGTTGACCATCCTTACTAGACAGTGGTGTTACCAACCCCAGATGCCTGCTGATATTATGATGAATGCCATTTGTGAGAAGTATACTCTGGCCAAAGCTGGGGAACCTGGTTGCAAGAAGACTTCTAGTGGTCCTTACAAACAATTTTATGGTCCTTGGCACCATTCTAGCAGTAACAGGCGTAAGTATTAGCTCATAAGATGAATTAAAGCTCATGCAGTTTTAGGGGAGGCAATGGTATAATTGTATCATTGCTGGAGTATTAATCCAGAGAAGCAGGTAATATTCTGGAGACCTGGGTTTAAATCCCATTTTGGCAGATGGTGGAATTTGAATTCAATAACATTCTGGAAATAAGAGTCTAATGATGACCATGAAATCATTATCAATTGTCAGAAAATAGTTCACTAATGTTCTTTAGGAAAAAACCTGCCATCATTACCTGGTCTGGCCTATAAGGTAATGTGTAGTGGAACTTTCAGCAGCAGGTGGTTACAGCGTGGAAGGGCACTGAGCAGGAGAGCTCATGCACTTGTGTAGGGACTGCTAACAGTATGTGGTGATGTTGAGGGGAGGTACAGCTGGAGTAGTCAAATTGACCTGTCTCTAGAGAAAGGGGTTCTTTGGAATAAGGGCTGATGGGAAGGAAGAGCAGATAGATGAAGGATTCCTTAACACAATGTAAACCACAAGCTTCATTCAATTTAAATACTTCCTTGTTTAACCTTAATCTCCTGTTATGTTTATAAATACCAGATGCCAATGGAATAATGAACCCCTGCTTCATGATCTTTGGGACATCTATGTGTTCAAATCTCATGATACTATGTTAGTAAATTTGGGTAACAGATGTTTGCATTGCCAGTGATGCCTTCATCCCATGAAAGAACATTTTTTAAAAAAAAACTTCACCAAACTGATACTGGAGCTTGAGAGAGATAGTAGGAACTGCAGATGCTGGAGAATCCGAGACAACAAGGTGCAGGGCTGGATGAACACAGCAGGCCAAGCAGCATCATAGGAGCAGAGAGGCTGACGTTTCGGGCCTAGACCCTTCATCAGAGAAGGGGGAGGGGAAGGGGGTTTTGAAATAAATAGGGAGAGAGTGGGAGGCAGATAGAAGAGGGATAGAGGAGAGGATAGGTGGAGAGGAAACAAACAGGTCGAAGAGGCGGGGATGGAGCCAGTAAAGGTGAGTGTAGGTAGGGAGTTAGGAAGGGGATAGGTCAGTCCAGGGAGGACAGACAGGTCAAGGGGACGGGATGAGGTTGGTCGGTAGGAGATGGAGGTGCGGCTTGAGGTGGGAGGAGGGGATAGGAGCTTAGCGGGTTAGTTGATGAGACTGGGTTGCAAAACTTTTGTTAGTGTTCCCTTGGATATCACAGATTTAAGGATTATTGACGTGTTTAAGATGTTATAAAGACTCAACAGGATGGATAGAGAAAAACTAAACCTTGGTTGGGGGAGTGTAGCAAGGGAGGGCATAATCTTAAAGTTAAGCTAACCCACTTAGACAGGTTCACAACTAAAGCTGGAGTTGTGCACTGTCACTGTAGTCCTACTACTCCACAGGTCACAATAGAAAATAAAAATAGAGTTTTGAGTCACCGAAATGGCTAATTAACTACCTTATCTATATCAGGTTTTTAGTAAAAACATATATCAACCAGGTATCTTACCATCACAATTATTAGCTTATAATCAAAACAAAGCTCATGCATTGAAGATGGAATAACTGGTTAATGTACATGGTCAGTAACATGGAAAATAATGTTTATCTTCCTAAATATCGCCAAAACACACATGCAAACACGTTCAGGGAAAGAGAAAAAGACAAGATTTCTTTATGAATAAGACACTTTGGCTAATGGGTTATTCTTGCACACAAAAGGATAAAATGTGGAATATTTCCAAAACTGTTGCCATGATGTTTTGGCATGTGTGATTACATTATTAATCACACACAGAGTCTTGAAGACACAGTTTGTTCAGGAAATACAACATTGAGAAGGTCTTGCAATGGCTCACAAATACATTTCTACCCAGAACTCAACAAGAGTGTTTTCCTTTTATAGATTGGACAGACTGACTTGGTGGCTCTTTTCTTACAGGCTTTTACGGACCAGATAAAAAACAAGAAAGTCTTTAAGTCAGCCACAGTCTACAGCAAAGCAGTTATCATCAGTCATGTGATTTCTAGGAAGCCTTGCTAAGAAATCTCCAATATCGACAGTAACATATAAATTACTACTTTTGAAGAAACCACTCCAGATGTTTCAACATAGCTCGGAATATATCCACTTTTTCACAATTCTTTAAAGCTGAAGTTTTCTGAGCAGTGTTAAATACGAAGTGTCTTCAGAATAATAGAAATCTCATTTTCACACACAAAAAAGTGGAAATTGATGAGGTTTGTAGTTTTCTGTATGTTAGCCTGTATAGTGTACACCAAATCCTTGTTATCTGTGGGGATAGGTCATGAACCTCCGGCAGGACTGAAGGAAGGACAAAAAAAATGCAATTACTGCTATAATGTAAATCTCTCATCTATCACCAAGGACTGTCAGAGGGGAGAAAGAATCAAGACTGTGGCTTGTTGTACTGTTATGTGAGTCCACGTTTAACAAGGAGTAAGATATACCAGAAAATTGCACACACATTCATCGCTGTACCTGAAAAAATACATAGTAACATTAATTTCCAAACATCTTTTTTGGCCGCATTGCCTGCTGCTAGTCCCTGCATATGAGAAAAGGGAATTAAGAGGACTTAAAGCTCATGCAGATTAAAATGGGTTGGCACCAATGATAATGGGAAAGCAGCACAGGACAGCACAATGAAACTACTGGGTTGGTTAGCCATTAGGATTTCCCCACCCAAACATGGGCAGTTATGGTCTTCTCCAGCTAGATTTCTCCTAAAAAGGAATGAGGAGCCTGATGATTGCCATCCTTCCCCCCCACCACCCCCCAACCTCCACAACCCCCATGTTGGCCTGGATGTGGACCAGTTATTCCTGCAATACAATAAATGGAGGGATTGAATGTGATAGAAGTCGATGGAAGCACAATTTATGGCAATGCAGGAGCAGGAGACTGGTGAGATGTCCCCAGTGAGTGAGTAGGAAGTGCAGATAGCAGGAAGGGTTTGCAGTTTGGCCTAGACCCTTCTTCAGAAAAGTCCAGGGCACGTGACAGCTGGGGGGGGTGGAGACGAGGATGATTGACAAAGCCAACAGCCAGTCAACACGCAGGACATCTGTGGTGTCACAATGGAGGTTACCGAGTGACAGCAACATGAACCAATGGTAGTAGCGTGGGGCGGGGCCGACGATGTATCTTTTTTTGTTACAGAATGGACGGGGATCTGTGGCCGAGGGGCGAGCGGCGCCGGGGAGGCAGGACCGGCTTAAGACCATTCTGGCTTTACTGTCTCTGCTGTTCCGCTTTGTTGTTTCTCATTGTTACCCTGCAGGTTAGCTGATTCTACTCTGTGCTTGTCGCTGCTGTTGTCCCCTGGGCGCGGTGGCTGGTGAATGGTTTGGCCCCATTGTCACATCCAGCCTCCTTTCTACTCTCCACTTTCTTTCCTTCCCTGAAACAAACAGAATTCAGGAGAAACGCCGCCGCGTCCGTGCAGGGGGAAACACAATTAGCGTTTCGAGTCTGATGCAACTTCTTCATTATCGGACTCGAAACGTTAACTCTGTTTCCCTCTTCATAGATGCTGCCAGACCTGTTGAGTTTCTCCAGTGTTTTCTGTGTTTGTTTCAGACCTCCAGCATCCACTATATTTTATGTTTTACTTCAGTTCTTCTCTGATCCAACTCGGTTATCTCTTTTTATAAGAGTTCACCTTGAACAGTTGGAAAGCCCAGTTCCCAACTGTGGTCTTCAACTGAAAAACTGTCCGATAAATTAACGTGTACAATTCTGAGGGGAACTGACGCAAAATTGTTATTGCTGGTAATCTGAAAAAAGTTGTTATAAAACATCGGGAAAATGCTGAAGCTACTCAAGATTGGCAACATCAGTTCAGATGAATGTTGACCTTTAAACGTCAATTCTGTTACTCTCCACATTGACTATTTATAACATTTTCTTTTTTTTAAATTCAGCAAGTGGCCAACATGAACTTGTCACGCTATGTTTGTACCTTCTCTGCCAGTGTTACAGCTACAGATGGGCAGATGCAATTCTTTTCTTTCATTACATTTGTATGTCTTTGTGACCTCTGGTCATCCCAAAGTGTATTATGTTTTCAGGTTCACAGGTGTACTTCCATAAGACTGGATTTGGAATTTAAGGCCAGAGAATTTGACTAGAACTATGTTCTGATATAAGATTTTTACTGTATTATGCGAAATGCATGAACACTTAGTCTTTATGAATAATGTGTGGTGATTCAAATTTAATGATTTATATTTAAAATAAATGCTGCACTGCCTATGCAGATGTGTTTAATACAAACATATACGTGAGTTAACTGGAAAACATAAGAATGGTCACAGTTCACCACTTTTTTATTTGAGGGCTTCATTTAACCTGTCAGTGCATAAATATTTGAAACTAATTGTCACCCCTTCAGGTAAACACTTTATCTACTACAGTCACAGAATTTCACTGCCTATTTTGCTCTGTAGTAGAAAAATTGTTGAACCTCCATAAATGAATGGGATGTATTTCGTCTCATTGGGAAAGGCCACATGAGTAAATGATCATTCCTCACAGCTAAGTTGTGAGTTATCTAGTTGATAACTAAGTTGTCCTCATTCTGTCACTGCCTTTTCTGTTTGCCATTGAGCAGCAAGCCTTTCATTTTTCATTAGAAAGAGCTCCCATTTATGAGATAGTAGGAACTGCAGATGCTGGAGAATCTGAGATAACAAGGTGTAGAGCTGGATGAACA